GTCCTACTACACTCACGTTATGTAGACTACTAGTCATACAGTCGTACTACACTCACGTCATGTAGGCTACTAGTCATACAGTCCTACTACACTCACGTCATGTAGACTACTAGTCATACAGTCGTACTACACTCCTCACGTCATGTAGGCTACTCAGTACACTCAGTCATGTAGGCTACTAGTCATACAGTCGTACTACACTCTCGTCATGTAGGCTACTAGTCATACAGTCGTACTACACTCTCGTCATGTAGGCTACTAGTCATACAGTCCTACTACGCTCTCGGTATGTGAACTACTGGCCAAACAGTCCTAATTTATCCACCCTAGGCTGGACATAGAGCCCTGCTATATCCACACTATGTAGGCTAGGCATACAGCCCTGCTCTACTCGTGCCACCTGTCATACAGACTACCTAGAGCTTCTGTATCTAACGAACCTCCAGCAACAGGCTGTGGTTGTAGAACATACCCCTGTCTGTTGATTGTTTTCTGTGTATCTTCAGAAACGTTATCTCGGGGGAGTAGACTACTTCCTGTGTTTGGACCTTAGCAATTACGATGGCTGTCTGATATGATATGAAATGAATCAGAATAATGTATAGGTTGTGTTCAGTATAAGATAAACTGAACAGATAAGATACGACTGAACCCCTGGAACAGGTCTGTGTTCTGTCCTGCAGGCAATGTATACATGTTCATTATAAGACCAGCTGAACAGATTAGATACGACTGACCCCCTGGAACCGGTCTGTGTTCTGTCCTGCAGTCGCTATATAGTATCAGGGAGGAGGCTCATACTGGAGTCACCTGGATCATCACGCAGCAATACGTAGATCGCACCTGCGGTAGAGCAGGGTTCACTGCATGTCCAGTTTCGAGGTTTGAAACAGTCCTCGCGCCCCCAGTTATTTCTAGATTATTGCCTGTAAGCGGCGTAAAACTTCACTCATGACCGCCAACAGTAGGCGTATGTCGTATGTTAGGGGCAGAGCTAGAGCCTGTGTAGACTCGACGTTAACACGTTTCAGTGTAGAATCGACGTTAACACGCTTCAGTGTAGACTCGAAGTTAACACGCCTCAGTGTAGGCTCGACGTTAACACGCTTCAGTGTAGGCTCGACGTTAACACGCTTCCGCGGAAACATCTAGTTAATGTCCCTGTCATCATAACAGAAGCAGATGTCAAAGACGTTGAAACCCTCTTACAGCTCAGGATAAATTACATACAACCACCAGGCCCAGATGACTCGGTCATGTGTACAGAGTATACGGAGTTAATATCATCCAACACAGTACAACCACCAGGCCCAGATGACTCGGTCTTGTGTACAGAGTATACGGAGTTAATATCATCCAACACTGTTTGAATACACAGGAGGATGTATGTTCAATATACAATAATAATTCCATTGTTATTTGACAAAAAACCCAAATCCACAGCAAATTTTTTTGAATAGTGTTTTGATTGTCACAAACAAAGCAAGTAGTCATTATAGATTCTTGGGTGGAAGTGTGAAGGGTGGGGTGGGTAGATGGTGGTGGTGGTGTGTGTGTATGAGGGGTGTGGTGGTGGGTGGGGGTTTGTAGGGGGTTGGCACCAGAAATGGACCCATTTGGGCAATCAATCTCGGACGTGATGAGCGAATGCTTTGAACAATACCTCACTGGGCTACCTCACTTGACTACCTCACTGGGCTACCACAATCAGGTAGAGACCCTTCTCAGACCTCAAATCATACAGGCAGCTTGTTCTTACCTTCAATGCTACGAGTATATAATCGGTTGTTCAGGTAAATCAGCTTCAATAAGATATAATGGCCAGGTAACCAGCACCCACCATATGCAAGGGTCTGGAATGTGTGTTTCAGTATAGAAGATAGCTGTAGGCCGCACATGGATACCCAACCGCCTACAGGACGGAGTAGGGAAACTCGGTCATGGAACGTAGATTGCAGGGGATGGTGAATATAACCACAGTCGACATGTTACAGCGACCTGAAAATTAAGCCTCCTCCGTCAATTCACTTGATGCTAATACGACCATGCTGCTGCTTGTAACAGAAGGGTCTCTACAGCAACTGCCGTTAGCACTAACCGGTAACAAACCCATTTGGAATACATGCTTCACGGAACTAACACACTAACTTGTTAATTAATTTTTTCTGCAATATGACGTCTTATGTGTGCAAAGCTGAGGAAAGAAAACCCATTCCGTATTAACAGGTAATTTAGTGTGCCTGCCCGAAGCGGTAAGGGAAATGAATGTTTTTGTCGCTGTCAAGTTTGTTCCCTGGGCTGGGACACTCGACCCACACCGGACAAGTACGCCCTTGAGGCGAACCAGCTGTGTATAACTAGCTGATTTATTAACGCAGGTTTTAAATATGGAGGATTCTGTTAATTAAATGTGTGTTGAGAGAAGGGTTCAGCTAATAACTATAAACCTCTGTGTGCATATCGTTGAACAGTTCCCCGCTCCAAGGGAAGTTTGCTGTCGGGTTCTGCGTAGGAGATATTTGAAGGAACAGCGCACATTGATGTAATGTTATATACCATTCCAAAAAAGTAAGGGATCTTCTATTTTGCGGGCATTCCACAAGCCAATGCCAAGGCATAAGAGAGAAAGTAATATTATCCATACAGATGAAACATTTCCAAAGGAATGGAATAAATTGTCACATTTTCCCTTAATTTCTCTTCATCATCTGTTTCCTCCTTGGCTTCATCATTTGCATTTATCAATCTTCTAAATCCAATATCCCCTACTTCTTTGAATGGTATATTTCATTACTCGACCAATACGAGCCGAGCTAAATGGGATTTCATGGTACAAGAGGATTTCTTTGGCAAACTAGGCCTTTACGGTTCTTACATTGCAATAAGAGGGTCATGTGTTGTCATCAGACTTCGTTTGTGATTGTGGAACATGTTACCTTAGAATGGTGACATCGTTAACGAGCTACTTGGAAACTTACAGTAGTCGATTCAAACAGATGTTTAGAAATGCATGTTTTCATATTGGTCTTCGTATATGGCCTTGGTCAGGTATCTTGGTTCTAGTGACAATGCCTCGGGACAATACAACCCGTCTCTGGACTATACATCTGTCTCGAGACAATACATCCTGTATCTGGACAGTATATTCTGCATCTGGACAATCCATCCTGCATCTAAAGAATGATGGTAATTTTATGGATGTATAAGTCCTTTATTCTGGGAAAGGCGACGTTTCGACATAGATTCTAATGTAGTTGGTAAGCAAGTGATGTCGAAACGTCACCTTTCACATAATAAAGGCGTTATATATCCATAAAATTACCATCATTCTTGATCACCTCAACTTCTAAAAGGCCAATCAAGAAATCCTGCATCTGGACAATACATTATGCCTAGGGGCAATACAATCTGCCTCTGGACAATAGAATCTGTAAACATTTATATATCCACATTTTTAATATGATTTCAATTTTATTTTGGACGACTACCCAGTGCGACATTGGGCGTAGATCCCAAACCAAGTAAACGCTGTGCCTGTGACTACACCACAGACGATCCTGGTTCAGATCTAACGTTGGTACAATGTGCGAAGGGTGTCATGGCATCCCCATTTAAATATCAATGACCAGTTACAGTGCTGTGTACAAATAGCCCAAACCAAGGTTTTCAAGTATGCCTACAGACTTATACTGCTATAATTGATGTTCGTGGTTGCGTGTGCAGCAACCTTTGATTGTGGGTTCGAAGCCCGGATCCCCCCGATCAAGTTTTACCAGTGCCAGCTGTAAATGTACCTGTACTTAGGGGTTTCACCAAACTGGTAAACGTCGGAGACCTGCCTCACTCCGGGATTTTCTCCCACATGAAGCAGACCCGCCGCCACAACGGGGGAATTGTTGAAGGTGGCGTTAGACTCCATACATTCACTCACGAAGTTTTACTGATAATTATGTAATGAGCTCCGGAAGTTTTACTCTCTGCTCAGGAAATTTCTTCATCTCATTCCAAGACTTTAATTAGGCGTATAACATACTCTAGAAATAGACTTTCAAGGATTGGATTCTTCTGAATGAGTTTGCAAGATAAGAACTGAACTTGTTAACTTGGTTGATTAACGCAGAGAAACTAAAACTCAACTTAAGTTTATTTATCAGAGATCATGATACAAGCATGATAAATGCCAGAGCTAACTTTTTGAAACTTTGTCTGTTGGCATCTGTGGTATAACGAGTATTGCAGTGTAGGAGTGTATGTGTATGGGAGTATGTACTGTATGGCTTATGGCTGTATGAAATGACTGATTTAGAGGTCTAGCCATTTCATGAACGAAATGGTGTTGTGAAAATACAAGTGACTAATAACAGACAAGAAGTATTTGATAACAAACTTTATTGACATAATAATTCACGAAATTACATGATATGTCACATAATTAATGGGACCATAACATTATGTCATTTCATGAAATGACTGATTTCACAATCTGACTGTAACATATATATGGTGCATGGTATACGGGAATAATGTAGTGCATGGATGTATATGTACATGTGGTATACAGGTGACACGACATGTTTGTTTTGTTAATTAATTAATGACCATCAAACAATGTTGATTCGCCGCCAACAAGGTTGATGTATACCGCTAAGTGGCTGAGCTGACACTGAGCTGACACTGAGTGAGTTCGCTAATCACGTCGTTAATTGGGTCTTGGGGGGTAGTAAATCAGTTCGCTATAGCCGTTAATTCGCTACTCACGAGTTCGTTATTCGCGTATAATTTTAATGATATTATAAAGGACTATTGACGGGACTTTTAAATTTGTTCGCTATATCCGTTTGTACGCTATATCCGCGTTCGCTATATCCATGTTCTACTGTACTTGTGGTATATGTGTAGATGTGGTATATGGTATATGGAACATAATCATTGCAATGTTCCGGGAAAGTGCGGATCTAGGTATTACGTCACATGGTGGGAGATTAGTCAGTTGGACAACAACAATAAAGTAGTTTACTGATAAACTAGTACAAGGAGTTGGGGGGGTGACATTTCTACACGGGTCATCAGTTCTGTGCTGAAACAAGTGGTGGAACCTCACTTAAACCATGTCCTTCAGATTGCCCTCCAGCGTCCTCCCCATCGATCTTCACGAATGGGGCCTTGATTAAACTGTGGCCCAGGTAAACTGTTCACATCCACAGCACATTCACATTCTGCCCTGTTGAGAACACCGCCCTTGGTAGAATGCTTTGATTTTCTCCCAGATTTTTCATGTACTTTATGAAAATGGCAAGAAACTGACGAGAAGTCCTTTTGCTGCATTTTGAAATATCTGTATTGCTACCTACTGCGAGGTGAAGAAGGTTCGTGAACTACGACTCAGGGAACTGGATGCTTGTGTAGATGGGTAGGTTGAATGGTGGTATCAGAAGGGTTGGCCAAGTTTACATTAACGAAAAACATAAAGAATTTTCCATCGGTTTTCAAATCTATCACTCTTTTTTTTGTAAATACCAACTTCCTTGTCTTTCTATAAATGCCATTCTGAGAATTTGATATCAAAACATTGTAAAGATTTGAAGCAATTTCTAAACTTCTTGAATATGTGCTTTTGTTCGTCACTCTAATATTCCACGTAAACTTTCCCTAATTTCTCCCCCATTTTCAACACAGCGCCGTTCTTGGAGTCATCCTGTACCAGATCCAGGAAGCCCTCGGCCACATACTCCGGGCTGCAACCAATCAGGGAAACGTTTGTGAACCCTCGATTATCCAGTGTGGTATATCTCCATTCTGTTACAATATATTACCGCGATCCATTCACCATCATAGACCAGCTATATGTCAAATTCAAACTGCGTGAGGACCGTCCAATCAAAATACTCTAAGGCGATAGACAATTGTAGAAAGACTGACGTCATGAACACAGCTATGGCAGAGGCTGTATCGGTGGTACCCGTCATAATACAGTGGACATATACTGGATACTTGAGGGTGGCACTCGATGACGTCACTGATCATCGGACACACTTGGCTTATGATTAGATTAAAGAAATATTAAATAGCGCAACTCAGATACTTTAATTCTGAGCAAACAGTGCATAATCTCAGGTCGGAGTAGTTTTATCGCTTGGAGGGACTCCTGATCACAGGTTTGGTGCTGACAAACCTAGAAGCACAACTGAACTGGGATTCAAACCCACACTCACTGGTGCCTGGCCTTCAAGATGGAAGTACAGCGAATTTAGGGGACGACTGAGCCACCCGTCTTATCAAAGAGGCGTCAAAGCGGTAGCAGTACTTTCTAAAGCAGGGGTGTATTCACCGTGTATCCATTTCTGAAGCACATTTCGTGTTCTTTGTAGCTGATAAATCTCACCAAACAGTTTATTGTCTTTGAGTTAGTGTCGATAACCTTGACGTTATCATTTTGTTCACATTCAGGGCAATAGGTGAGAAACAGATCTCGCGTCCTCACGTTGCCCTGGTTCTGCTGAACGAGAGAGGCCGAGATGGTGACGCACCTTAAAGCTATATAAAGGTAAGGTGTCGAATGTGTCCAGGATGAATAGCACGAATGAATAATACTAGTAAACTCTCCTGATTAGTAGAACATAACTACAACACTTACGACATCACTCCGTGTTCGTCCATATATTTGCCGACGTCTCCGTCAGCTGATCCACCACGGGGCAGCAGGGCCGTGTCGGCAAAGGAAGGACATAGCACATTCACACGCACTCCATTGTCAGCACACAGAGGACTGCGCTGAAACATTCAGCATACCCAATACTCAATTGTCAGCACACAGAGGACTGCGCTGAAACATTCAGCATACCCAATACTCAATTGTCAGCACACAGAGGGCTGCGCTGAAACATTCAGCATACCCAATATTGGCGGCACATAGTGTGTTAGAGTTGACTTCATGCTCGAATTGTCTGAAGTGAGCCAATATTTCCTATTTAGAACATACAATATTTATGTTTGAAAAGGACACTACCCTGTCTCCCCGAACAGGAAATAGCACAGCTGAATCCAACTTACTGCATTTGTGTTTATTTGTAGATACATATTCTAAATGAGTTCATTGTATCTCTGAGACTAAATAATACTCTGAGGCAGACTCGGTTGGTGGGTAAAACCTTCAGAGCAAATTAATTTTGAACATTTTACAACAGCTCGAGACAGTCGGGTTATCTGTATAAGGTAATGTAGTCTGAAGACCCTGTCTGGTGGATACTCACAGCCCAACTCCTGGAGAAGCCGATGACCCCGTGTTTAGTGGCAGTGTAAACTTCAGCTCCCGGAACCGCCATCAAACCTGCACAAACAGAAACACGGGACATTCTTTAGTCCTGCGTTGTTCTCACTTAACAAATCGTCTTTCATCGTCGGGGCCTTATGTAAGCATGATATGTCATGTCGACCTCTCGTAGCTTTTGTCATGTCCTATAGCCATGAATGGGGAGCGAGGTGCAGTGCTGCTCTTGTCAAGCATCACTGGCGATGGAACAACATCCAACTGCTCCACAACCAGCACTGAACTATCTCACCTGCAATGGACGCCGTGTTGACGATAACTCCCCCTCGGCCCCCTTTGTCCCGGCGCATCAGGTCCAGGGCGAGGTTCGTCCCCCGGATCACGCCTTTCTGTAACACACCGTCATTATCTTATGTACAGATCAGAGCGTCTGTAGGTCACAAGCTCGGCTTCATACAAGGGAAGTGTCCACGTCCAAGTTCAGGCTAAACTTCACAATGAAGTGGTACTGTGTATGTCCACATCTACGGTCAAACCTATTGTCAGACACCTCAGTCTGTACAACGGAATCCGACGCCCTTGAATATCCCTATCCATGCTCATGTCAGGGTAGATCTGTATGTCTATTACCTTGATTATGCATATGGATTCCATCCGGGTTTTGGGTTCATTCAGAAAAAAGGGAGCACAGTGTGTAACACATTCAGGTACACCAGCAATGATTCTCTTTACTTCACGTAAATATAACATCGCGACGTAAAACAACATGCGAGCATGACAGTATCAAACATTACCTGTATTAAGTCAATACCTATTGTGAATGAAGATCAATATCGATAATCACGAAAACTGTTGTAGTGTCTATAACAATCAAGACAAGTGGACCAACTGACCAGGTTGACATCGACGGTCTTCTCCCAGACTTCCCTAGTCTCGCCTATGATCCCGGCGTTGTTCGACATGATGTCCAGCCCACCGAACCTTTCACGCACCTGCTGGAAGACAGCTGAAACACGGCGACATGAAGAGGAAATGGATGTGGACGTGAAGAAGACATAAATGTGGACGTGGAGAGGACATAAATGTGTACATGGAGAGGACATAAATGTGGACGTGGAGATGATATGGGAGTGTAGAGGACATGAATGTGGACGTGGAAAAGACATGAATGTGGACGTCGAGAGGACATGAATGTGGACGTGGAGAGGATATGGGGGTGTAGAGGAGAGGACATAAATGTGTACGTGGAGTGGACATAAATGTGGAGGTGGAGAGGACATGAATGTGGAGATGAAGAGGACATGAATGTGGAGGTGGAGAGGACATGGATGTGGAGATGAAGAGGACATAAATGTGGAGGTGAAGAGGACATGAATGTGGAGATGGAGAGGACTTGAATGTGGAGATGAAGAGGACATAAATGTAGATGTGGAGAGGACATAAATGTGGAGATGAAGAGGACATGAATGTGGAGGTGGAGAGGACATGAATGTGGAGATGAAGAGGACATGAATGTGGACGTGGAGAGGACATGAATGTGGACGTGGAGAGGACATGAATGTGGAGAGAGGACAAGGAATGAATGATGAGAGAGGACAGATGTGGACAGGAAAGTGGACATGAATGTGGATGTGGAGAGGACATGAATGTGGACGTGGAGAGGACATGAATGTGGATGTGGAGAGGACATGAATGTGGATGTGGAGAGGACATGAATGTGGACGTGGAGAGGACATGAATGTGGACGTGGAGAGGACATGAATGTGGATGTGGAGAGGAATGGAGGACATGGAATGGACATGGACATGGATGTGGAGGACATGAATGGATGGAGGAGGACATGAATGTGGAGGGAAGAGGAATGAATGGACGTGGGAGAGGACATGAATGTGGACGTGGAAGAGGACATGAATGTGGAGGTGGAAGGACATGAATGTGGACGTGGAGAGGACATGAATGTGGATGTGGGGAGGACATGAATGTGGATGTGGAGAGGACATGAATGTGGACGTGGAGAGGACATGAATGTGGATGTGGAGAGGACATGAATGTGGATGTGGAGAGGACATGAATATGGACGTGAAAGGAGGACATGGAATGGACGTGGAGAGGACATGAATGTGGAGGTGGAAGAGGACATGAATGTGGATGTGGGAGGACATGAATATGGACGTGGAGAGGACATGAATGGACGTGAGGAGGATGGAATGGAAGATGTGGAGAGGACATGAATGAATGGACGTGGAGAGAGGACATGAATGTGGACGTGGAGAGGACATGAATGTGGACGTGGAGAGGACATGAATGTGGAGTGGAGAGGACATGAATGTGGATGTGGAGAGGACATGAATGTGGACGTGGAGAGGACATGGATGTGGACGTGGAGAGGACATGAATGTGGACGTGGAGAGGACATGAATGTGGACGTGGAGAGGACATGAATGTGGACGTGGAGAGGACATGAATGTGGACGTGGAGAGGACATGAATGTGGATGTGGAGAGGACATGAATGTGGATGTGGGGAGGACATGAATGTGGATGTGGAGAGGACATGAATGTGGACGTGGAGAGGACATGAATGTGGACGTGGAGAGGACATGAATGTGGATGGTGGAGGGACATGAATGTGGACGTGGAGAGGACATGAATGTGGACGTGGAAGGACATGAATGTGGATGGTGGAGGACATGGATGGTGGACGTGGATGGACATGGAATATGGATGGTGGAGGACATGGAATGGATGTGGGAGGACATGAATGGATGGATGGAATGGAGGACATGAATGGAATGGAGGATATGGATGGAGGACATGAATGTGGATGTGGAGGAGGACATGAATGGACGTGGAGAGGACATGGATGTGGACGTGGAGAGGACATGGAATGAATGGACGTGGGAGGACATGAATGGACGTGGGAGAGGACATGGACATGGACGTGGAGAGGGACATGAATGTGGACGTGGAGAGGACATGGATGTGGATGAAGAGGACATGAATGGATGGTGGATGGAATGGAGGACATGAATGGATGGAGAGGACATGAATGGATGGATGGAGGGATGGAATGGAGGGAATGAATGGATGGATGATATGGATGTGGAGGACATGAAATGGATGGTGGGATGGAATGGAAGGACATGAAATGGATGGAGAGGACATGGAATGGACATGGATGGAGGACATGAATGGACGTGGAGGACATGGATATGGATGGAGGAGGACATGAATGTGGACGTGGAGGACATGGAATGTGGATGGATGGAAGGACATGGAATGGATATGGAATGGACGGGACATGAATGGTGGATGGAATGGATGGAGGATGGACATGGATGGACATGGAATGGACATAAATGGTGGACATGGAATGGAGAGGACATGGAATGGAATGTGGATGGATGGAGGACATGGATGTGGACATGGAAGGAGGACATGGATATGGATGGTGGAAGAGGACATGAATGTGAATGGATGGATGGAGGACATGAAATGGACATGGAGAGGACATGGAAATGGACGTGGAGGACATGAATGGACGTGGAGAGGGACATGGATATGGATGTGGAGAGGACATGAATGGAGATGGATGGAAAGGACATGAATGGATGGACATGGATGGAGGACATGAAATGTGGACGTGGAGAGGACATGAATATGTGGATGTGGAGAGGACATGAATGTGGAGGAATGGAGAGGACATGAATGGTGGACGATGGAATGGAGGACATGAATGGACATGGACGATGGGAGGACATGGATGGACGTGGAATGAATGGACATGGAGGACATGGAATGGACATGGACATGAATGTGGATGTGGAGAGGACATGAATGTGGACATGGAGAGGACATGGATGGTGGACGTGAGACAGGACATGAATGGTGGACGTGGAGAGGAGACATGGATGTGGACGTGGAGAGGACATGAATGGACGTGGAGAGGACATGAATGTGGACATGGAGAGGACATGGAATGGACGAAATGGAAGGACATGAATAATGGAATGGAAGGAAGGACATGAATGTGGACGTGGATGGAAGGACATGAATATGGATGTGGAGAGGACATGAATGTGGATGGTGGACATGGACATGAATGGATGGATGGACATGGAATGGAGGGAATGGATGTGAATGGACATGAATGAATGGACATGGAGAAGGACATGAATGTGGACGTGGAGAGGACATGAATGGACGTGGAATGGAGGAGGACAATATGGACATGGAGGAGGACATGGATGGATGGAGGAGAGGACATGGAATGGACGTGGAAGGACATAGAATGGACGTGGATGGGACATGAATGGATGGATGTGGAGATGGAGGACATGATGGACGATGGAGGACATGGATGGGGACGATGGAAAGGATATGACAATGGACGTGGAGAGGACATGAATGTGGACGTGGAAGGACATGAATATGGACAATGTGAAGGACATGGAATGGATGGATGGAGGACATGAATGTGGATGTATGGAGGAGAGGAATGGACATGGAGAGAATGGAGAAGGACATGGATGTGGAGGTGGAGGACATGAATGGTGGATGGAATGGAGGACGTGGTGGAAGGACATGGATGTGGAGAGGGACATATAGAATGTGGACGTGGAAAGGACATGAAATGGACGTGGGAAGGACATGAATGTGGACGTGGAGAAGGACATAAATGTGGACGTGGAGGACATGAATGTGGACGTGGAGAGGACATGAATGTGGACATGGGAGGGACATATGATGGACGTGGATATGGACATGAAAGAGGACATGGATGTGGATAGGAATGGAGGACATAAATGGACATGGACGTGGAATGGAGGACATGGAATGGATGTGGAAGGACATGAATGTGGACGTGGAGGAGGACATAGATATGGACATGGAGGACATGAATGTGGACATGGATGGAGGACATGGATGTGGACGTGGAGAAAGGGACATGAAGATATGGACATGGAGAGGACATGAATATGGATGGAATGGAATGGACATGGATATGGACGTGGACAGGGACATAAATGTGGACAGAATGGAGAGGACATGAATGTGGATGTGGAGGAGGACATGAATGTGGACGTGGAGGGACATAAATGTGGACATGGATGGAGGACAAGGAATGTGGACGTGGATGGAAGAATGGAATGGATCATGGATGTGGAGGACATGAAATGGAGGATAGAGGAAGGACATGGAATGGATGTGGGAAGGACATGAGACATGGATGGTGGACAGGACATGGATGTGGACGTGGATGGAGGACAGGAATGTGGACGTGGAGGACATGGAATGGACGTGGGAAGGACATGGAGGACATGGATGGTATGGAGGACATGGATATGGAGGAGAATGGACGATGGATGGATGGGACATGGAATGGACATGGAAGGACATGAATGATGGATGGAGAGGACATGGAATGGACGTGGAAGGACATGAATGGTGGATGGAAGGAATGGAGTGGATGGATGGATGGAATGGACATAAAGGAATGGATGGAATGGACATAAGGATATGGACGATGGAAGGACATGAATATGGACGATGGAGGACATGATATGGACGTGGAAGGACATGAAATGGACGTGGAAAGGACATGAATGTGGACGTGGAGGACATGAATGTGGATGGAGGACATGAATGGACATGGAGAGGACATGAATGTGGATGTGGGAGGGACATGAATGACATGGATGGACGTGGAAGGACATGAATGTGGATGTGGAAGGACATGAATGTGGATGTGATAAGGACATGAATGTGGACGTGGAGGACATGAATATGGATGTGGGGAGGACATGAATGTGGACAGGAATGGACATGGATGTGGACGTGGGAGGACATGAATGGACGTGGAAGGACATGAATGTGGACGTGGAGAGGACATGAATGTGGATGGACGTGGACATGGAAGGACATGAATGTGGATGTGGAGAGGACATGAATGTGGACGATGGATGGAGGACATGAATGTGGACATGAATGGAATGGAGAGGACATGGATGTGGACGTGGAGAGGACATGGATGTGGACGATGGAAGGACATGAATGTGGACGTGGAGAGGACATGGATGGACGTGGGAGGACATGAATGTGGACGTGGAGAGGACATGAATGTGGACATGGAGGACATGAATGTGGAGGTGAAGGGAGGACATGAATGTGGACGTGGAGAGGACATGAATGGATGGACAAGAGGACATGGATGTGGACGTGGAGAGGACATGAATGTGGACGATGGAGGACATGAATGTGGACGTGGAGAGGACATGAATGTGGATGTGGGAGGACATGAATGAATGGACGTGGAGGACAGGAATGGATGTGGAAGGGACATGAATGGACGGAGAGGACATGAATGTGGACATGGAGGACATGAATGTGGACGTGGAGGACATGAATGTGGATGGTGAGAGGACATGAATATGGACGTGGGGAGGACATGAATGTGGACGTGGAAGAGGACATGAAATGGATGTGGGAGGACATGAATGTGGACGTGAAGAGGACATGAATGTGGACGTGGAAGGAGGACATGAATGTGGACATGAAAGAGGACATGAATGTGGACATGCGAGAGGGACATGAATGGAGAGGACAGGACATGAATGTGGATGTGGAGAGGACATGGATGTGGATGTGGAGAAGACATGAATGTGGACGTGGAAGACATGAATGTGGACGTGGAGAAGACATGAATGTGGATGTGGGGAGGACATGAATGTGGATGTGGAGAGGACATGGATGTGGATGTGGAGAGGACATGGATGTGGACGTGGAGAAGACATGAATGTGGATGTGGATGGGACATGAATGTGGATGTGGAGAGGATATGGGGGTGTAGAGGAGAAGCATCACATACACACCCAGCAGACAGTATACAAAGGACAGGATTTAACAAATTTAACATTTTAACAATGCTGCGCTTGTTACTGAAGTGTTAAATAAGGGACAACGCTTTAAATTAGAAACATTGAAAGATGAGCTGATGACCATTTTACCCTCTCTTTTGAGATTACATCTGAACATCAGCTGATTATAGTACTGTCGGAAATAGAAAAAAAACTGTATTTTCTCATTTATCTCTACAATTTATGTAGTTGATATGTGAAAGTGTGAAAAATCTGTTAAACTGAGTTCGGCCTAACTACAGTCTCAGTGGTAGAGAGATAGGAAACGGAGAAAAAGGACTTTACTGAGGGGAAATTAGTGCAGAAATGAGCAATGCGGTTTTTTTCTAAGTCCAAAAAGACTCATTTGGAACAGACCATGGCTTTATGCAATTAGTGTGCGACGATATTGTATTACAAAGGACACTTTTTAAATGCCCAATTTAAAATTAGACGTAGATTCATTATAAACGATAGCTGACGTCAAAAATAATAACTTTTATGCCGAAACTATTAAGGATGTAGCTACCATGCAGTCTCCCTGTCACTATGAAAAGAAACAGATAGGAGGGGTCGCCTCAAAAGCAAAACCAGGGGTCGGGCGTGGGGATAGAGATATCAGCTAAGATAAGATAATCCTTATGGGCAATTATACTGGGGAGGTACACGGCACGTCATAACAATTTACAAATAATATCCAGTCCTGTCGATCTTCGGGTGGTCATGCCACCTATATACTACGATGCGTTTCTATGGTTTTCGGGTATCATACTCTCTTACATATCTCAACATAAACTTTATGAAAGAAAGGCACGTAAGATGTTAATCAGTAGATGAGACATAGTCAACACACATGAAAAAGCACAAAATATCTTTGAGATGACCCCTTGTGCCATGTGCATTTCATGCCAGGTGAGTCGACGGTCCGTCGTCATACCTGGCTGAGCGAGCTAATTGCCATCTATAGTCTGATCTATTGTTTTCCGCAGCTATTCGTATTTGTTCTTAAGTTTTGCCCGATTTTACGAGTAAACATGCTTTTCTGGATATCGTATTACGCATCCCACTGAACGCCCAGTTAGGCCGAAGTGGGTTATTTCGACATATGCTATTTGCAATTGTGTCAATTTTAGGGATACAGAGTAACAGCCTAAAAACAGTTTTTTTCTATTTCCGACAGTACTATAGTTAAGAATTACTATAAACCTAAGAAGACATTCTTTATCTCGAAGTAATGGTCTGTGCACAAACGTTCTCATTCTACCTTCCATCTGGGCTTGTGACGTAACGTCGGCTCTCACAAACATCACGTTGTTTTCACCATACTTGTCTTGGAAGGCTTTCAGCGTCGCTTTCCCCGCCTCCGAGTTGACATCCGAAATTAGAACCTTCATAAGTCAGAATAAATAACAACATACATAAAAGCGATGTCATTGTAATTGTCAATAGCAGCAACAAAACTATTTCCATAATGAAAAGCAATCACTGCGAAAAGCAGAGACAGTTATACGAATCCGACCGGTCAAAATAAAGTATAAACCACTGTTTGTGGCTGAAATGAAACAAACCTGGAGTGAGTGAGTGAGTTTGGTTTAACGCCGCATTTAGCAATATTCCAGCAACATTACGGCGGGGAACACCAGAAATTGGCTTCACACATTGTACCCATGTGGGGAATCGAACCCGGGCCTTCGGTGTGACGAGCGAACGCTTTAACCACTGGGCTACCCCACCGCCCCTGAAACAAACCTGGAACGGTTATTGGAGGGAGACTGTTGTATACGGGGATCACAGTTTTGGACCTTACGTTGACCTTGTTTTGGCGATTGTTTTCAGCCTAGTAAGATTATTATTATAACGTTTGTAATTATTTAAAAAAAATCCATATCTTAAGTGCATACTTTCTTTTGCGCTGCGGTTTCTGTCATATGCAGGTACTTATTAATATCTTGTAGACAGAGGTGGTGCCAGGTGTTCACGAAAGGTGAGCATATAATTCCCCTCGTGTCTCACCCAATACAAACACTGGCAGAGGCACGGCAAGTGTTAATATGAGCAAACGTAGGAACACAAGATCTTTCAAGTCAAAACGGTGTCTGACACCGACATCTAGTCTGTTGGATGACTGACACCGACTGACACCGACATCTGTTGGATGTCTATTTGCGATATCAGAGCTACGATTTGCCTGCTGCAAATTGGTTCCGTTACACTAAGCAAACCTCACGTCCATTTGATTAGTGATAGGTGCAATGATCTGCAAACGGTGAAATTTCTGTATGACAGACTAGGATCCGTACCGTACATTGCAATGATGAGCTCGCGACGGAGCTTACAGTGCTTCCATCGTGAACACCCAATGTCAGGTACTCGTGCTCTCCTAAACAAAACGTCATTCTTTCAAAAGGAAATAAAAAATATATAGTCAAAAAATCTGGAAAATGTTTGCCAGCTTAGTAGATAGGCTCCTATCGTGAAAATTGTGCATGTATAATTTACCCAGGAAACAAACAATAGCTGCCTTGTATTCTCATTACAGTCTGGAGAAAGACGAGGGCTGAGATAATTAATTCTTTGGCAAGTGTAGGAATGGAGCTGAAATAGACAGCTAAACAATTCACAGATTATTACATGAAATATGCTCATTTAGATAGCGCTTATCACATGTGATATGCTGAGTAAAACCTACACACCCAGCGTAGTTGTATCAATCTTGAATCTTTAAGAAAGCACGGTATCGTCTGACTCTTGAGAGGGCCGAGTCTGAAGAAAGCACGATATCAACTAAATCTGAAGAAAGCACGATATCAACCAAGTTTAAAGAAAGCACGATATCAACCGAGACTGAAAAGAACGCGATATCAATCAAACATTAAGAGATACTATTCCAATAGAGTGCAACTGCACCCAAACACAAACGTAGGTCGCGATATACAGGGAATGTAGCCCAAAGTGGAGGTAGCTGTCACACCCTGTCATTTGCTTTGTTCCAGCGATATCTTTGTAGAACGCGACCTCAGTAGGTTAAAAGTGGGTACACGATGGCGGATGGTTTAGTTGCCTACCCTATGTTCACAACAGTATCACATGCCTCGCTACGCGGGAATGTTAACAGCAGGACACACTCAGTCAATACTCCAGACAACAAATACAGATCCAGGTAGTATGACCTGAATCCAAGCATGTGATTACCTTGACTTTACCCGTTTCAAGACATCAGTGAAATAGCTAATATACCTCAACACAAATACTGAACATAGACATGTTCTGTATGACACAAACTATCGATGTCCAGTATGACTAAAAACATCGATGTTCTGTATGACTGTTAATATCGATGTTCTGTATGATTGGAAATGTCTATGTTTTATGTGATTGTATCGATGTTCTGTATGAGTTTAGATATTGATGTTATATATGATTGTAAATATGTGATTGTATCGATGTTCTGTATGAGTTTAGATATTGATGTTATATATGATTGTAAATATCGATGTTCTGTATGAGTGTAATATCGATGTTCTGTATGATTGGAAATATCTCTGTTTTATGTGATTGTATCGATGTTCTGTATGAGTTTAGATATTGATGTTATATATGATTGTAAATATCGATGTTCTGTATGAGTGTAAATATCGATGTTCTGTATGATTGTAGATATCGATGTTCTGTATGATTGTAAATATCGATGTTCTGTATGATTGTAAATATCGATGTTCTGTATGAGTGTAAATATCGATGTTTTGTATGGTTGTAAATATCGATGTTTTGTATGATTGTAAATATCGATGTTTTGTAAGGTTGTAAATGTCGATGTTTTGTAAGATTGTAAATATCGATGTTCTGTATGATTGTAAATATCGATGTTCTGTATGATTGTAAATATCGATGTTTTGTATGATTGTAAATATCGATGTTCTGTATGGGTGTAAATATCGATGTTCTGTATGGGTGTAAATATCGATGTTCTGTATGATTGAAAATATCGATGTTCTGTATGATTATAAATATTGATGTTTTGTATGATTATAAATATTGATGTTTTGTATGGTTGTAAATATCGATGTTCTATATGATTGTAAATATCGATGCTTTGTATGATTGTAAATGTCGATGTCCTCTATGAGGTAAATGTCGATGCTCTGTATAGGGTAAATATCTGTGTTCTGTCTGAGGTAAATATCAATGTCCTGTATAGGGTAAATGTCGATGTTCTGTATGAGGTAAATATCGCTGTTTTGTCTGAGGTAAATGTCTATGTCCTGTATAGGGTAAATGTCGATGTCCTGTATAGGGTTAAATTTTGATATCCTGTATAGGGTGAATGTCAATGTCCTGTATAGGGTAAATGTCGATGTTCTGTATGAGGTAAATATCGATGTTCTGTCTGAGGTAAATGTCGATGTCTTGTATAGGGTAAATGTCGATGTTTTGTCTGAGGTAAATATTGCTGTTTTGTCTGACGTAAATGTCGATGTCCTTTATAGGGTAAATGTCGATGTTCTGTATGAGTTTAATATCGATGTTTTGTCTGAGGTAAATGTCGATGTCTTGTATAGGGTAAATGTCGATGTTCTGTCTTAGGTAAATGTCGATGTTCTGTATGAGGTCAATATCGCTGTTTTGTCTGAGGTAAATGTCGATGTCCTGTATGGGGTAAATGTCGATGTCCTGTATAGGGTAAATGTAGATGTCCTGTATGGGGTAAATGTCGATGTTCTGTATGGTTGTAAATATCGATGTTTTGTCTGAGATAAATATCGCTGTTTTGTCTGACGTAAATGTCGATGTCCTGTATGGGGTAAATGTCGATGTTCTGTATGAGGTAAATATCGATGTTCTGTCTGAGGTAAATATCGCTGTTTTGTCTGACGTAAATGTCGATGTCCTGTATAGGGTAAATGTCGATGTTCTGTATGAGGTCAATATTGCTGTTTTGTCTGAGGTAAATGTCGATGTCCTGTCTGAGGTAAATGTCGATGTTCTGTATGAGGTCAATATTGCTGTTTTGTCTGAGGTAAATGTCGATGTTCTGTATGAGGTCAATATTGCTGTTTTGTCTGAGGTAAATGTCGATGTCCTGTCTGAGCTAAATGTCGATGACCTGTATGGGGTAAATGTCGATGTCCTGTATGGGGTAAATGTCGCTGTTTTGTCTGAGGTAAATGTCGATGTCCTGTATAGGGTAAATGTCGATGTCCTGTATAGGGTAAATGTCGAAATCCTGTATAGGGTGAATGTCGATGTCCTGTATAGGGTAAATGTCGATGTTCTGTCTGAGGTAAATATTGCTGTATTGTCTGAGGTAAATGTCGATGTCCTGCATAGGGTAAATGTCGATGTTCTGTCTGAGGTAAATATTGCTGTATTGTCTGAGGTAAATGTCGATGTCCTGTATAGGGTAAATGTCGATATCCTGTATAGGGTTAATGTCGATGTCCTGTATAGGGTAAATATCGCTGTTTTTGCTGAGGTAAATGTCGATGTCCTGTAGTGGGTAAATGATCATGTCCTGTATGAGGTAAATGTCGATGTCCTGTATAGGGTAAATGTCGATGTCCTGTATAGGGTAAATGTCGATATCCTGTATAGGGTGAATGTCGATATCCTGTATAGGGTGAATGTCGATGTTCTGTATAGGGTAAATGTCGATGTCCTGTATAGGGTAAATGTCGATATCCTGTATAGGGTAAATGTCGATGTCCTGTATAGGGTAAATATCGTTGTATTGGCTGAGGTAAATGTCGATGTCCTGTATAGGGTAAATGTTCATGTCCTGTATGAGGTAAATGTCGATGTCCTGTATAGGGTGAATGTCGATGTCCTGTATAGGGTGAATGTCGATGTCCTGTATAGGGTTAATGTCGATGTCCTGTACAGGGTAAATGTCGATATCCTGTATAGGGTGAATGTCGATGTCCTGTATAGGGTAAATGTCAATGTCCTGTATAGGGTAAATGTCGATGTCCTGTATAGGGTAAATGTCCATGTCCTGTATGAGGTCAATGTCGATGTCCTGTATAGGGTAAATATCGATGTCCTGTATAGGGTAAATATCGCTGTCCTGTATAGGGTGAATGTCGATGTCCTGTATAGGGTGAATGTCGATGTCCTGTATAGGGTGAATATCGTTGTATCGGCTGAGGTAAATGTAGATGTCCTGTATAGGGTAAATGTTCATGTCCTGTATGAGGTAAATGTCGATATCCTGTATAGGGTAAATGTCGATATCCTGTATAGGGTGAATGTCGATGTCCTATATAAGGTGAATGTCCATGTCCTACAAGGGTGAATGTCGATGTCCTGTATAGGGTAAATGTCGATATCCTGTATAGGGTAAATGTCGATGTCCTGTATAGGGTAAATGTCGATGTCCTGTATAGGGTGAATGTCGATATCCTGTACAGGGTAAATGTCGATATCCTGTATAGGGTGAATGTCGATGTCCTGTATAAGGTGAATGTCCATGTCCTACAAGGGTGAATGTCGATGTCCTGTATAGGGTAAATGTCGATATCCTGTATAGGGTAAATGTCGATGTCCTGTATAGGGTAAATGTCGATGTCCTGTATAGGGTGAATGTCGATATCCTGTACAGGGTAAATGTCGATATCCTGTATAGGGTGAATGTCGATGTCCTGTATAGGGTAAATGTCAATGTCCTGTATAGGGTAAATGTCGATGTCCTGTATAGGGTAAATGTCCATGTCCTGTATGAGGTCAATGTCGATGTCCTGTATAGGGTAAATATCGATGTCCTGTATAGGGTAAATATCGCTGTCCTGTATAGGGTAAATGTCGATGTCCTGTATAGGGCAAATGTCGATGTTCTGTATGAGGTAAATATCGCTGTTTTGTCTGAGGTAAATGTCGATGTTCTCTATGAGGTAAATGTCGATGTCCTGTATGATGGACAGATATAAATCAGATTGTACCTTAGCACCGTTCTTTAACAGAGCTGCTGCAAAAGACTTCCCTAGGCCCTGTGCGGCTCCCGTTACCAAGGCGATCTTCCCGCTGACTTTCATCGTGTTGTTGTGGTGGTACCTTAGTCTATGTTCCTGGTTTCTGTTTGAAAGGCTGTGTTTGGATTCATAAAAATAGCCTAAAAATAGGTCACGGCAGGTACAAAGGTGGGGTTTTCGACTGTTGAAAGGTCGGACAGAACGGACGCGCGGGAATCCGTTGATAACGAAACACTATACAGACACATGTACTACTTATCAACCAATGTAGACATGTAGCGCCATAAAAATTCGAGCCTCGTACTGGGATTCGAACCTTCTGATCCGAAGTCGGGTGCCTTGTCCACATGACCAAAGAAGTTAACCCCGTCAGCAAAGTGGGATATGACAACACTCCCTGCTACATACTCCCTCCGTCAACAGAAGGCACGTCCCGGACTAGGCTGTAGGGATGATAATATGGTTCAGGGACTGTGAGACGGACTACATTGTAGGGAGGGCTAGGCTGTAGGGATGATAATATGGTTCAGGGACTGTGAGACGGACTACATTGTAGGGAGGGCTAGGCTGTAGGGATGATAATATGGTTCAGGGACTGTGAGACGGACTACATTGTAGGGAGGGCTAGGCTGTAGGGATGATAATATGGTTCAGGGACTGTAAGACGGACTAGACAGAGTACTGAGACTTATTTTTATCAAATTTAATGTGAACGTGCTCAGCCGCACGTTGGGCGTCAGACATATAAACCACCTGATTGAATCGGGGGAATGCGAAGATGCAAAATAGCTGAATGATCTACGAATTTGCTTTCGCGAACACGTACTGTTATCATTATCTAGTATGTTTGTGTGGCAGATACATTCTACTGTATTATAAGAATATAACATACCGATGATAAAGTGGTACATTGTGTTAGGTTCACCGTGTGAAGGAATGTGTGTCTTTTATACACATAACATGGGGAGGGTTTAGGCCAATGTTATTGTGACATGGAATTGTTCCTTTTGGTAATCTGGTGAATGAACTTTTGGATTGAACCAGTGATAGAGCGTGTTGAAATGGTCGGAGAACCCAAGCAAGCACGTGTTGCTGGATTTGCCCGAAATTTGAAGAAAACATCACACACTCCATAAAATGGACAGTAATGTTCACTTTAAATGGGCAGGCAATCAGAAGCTTATCACTTTCGACTCAGAGCAGTCTGAAGAAGGGCAGATGTTAGAAAGCACCCCCTTTGTTCATGGTTCTGGCACAAGTTGGACATACTACGTGTCGGGGAGAATGGCAGATGGAGAACTAGAGAGTAAAGCTTCAGTCGGTCATACCCCACTTTGTCGGACAGCTGATGTGATGATAACGGATTAAAAGTAACGGTCCGGTAGCTTGCCGGCTATAGTCTGTTTTCAGTGAGTAGTTGTCACCAGTAGTTTCATTTGGGGGACATGAGCGTTTGGCAGCTGAGTTCGAACTCATTATTACAAAGCACCAATTTGTTTTGAGTGAACTCGATTTCTAGTAACTAATTTGAGTGAACTCGAATATATTAGCTAAACTGAGTGAAGCTTATTCAAAGGATTATTTCTGCCTGTATATAAAGAATGTAGACATGATTCCCTCATTGCAAAATGGCAAACGCACAAGTTAACATTGAGTTCATTTCGAATTCAAGAGGAGGTAGACACTTAATCTGTCTTGGTCACAGGTTTCGAGTTAAGAGCACAAAAAGGTGACCGAGTTCATTGGAAATGTTGTAAGACAGGTTGTCCTGCCACCGCCAACACCGTCAGTGATGTTCTCAGCAGTTCCAAGAACATAAACAACCATCATCATGATCAAGTTCAGCTTCACATTGACACCTTTCTTGCCAAGTAAAAGACCAAAGTCCGGAGTGGTTCCAGACCAGTTCAGGCTATTTACAATGAAGAAATAGAAATTGTGGACATGACCTAAATACCGTACCATATAATTGAGATACTGAAATGTGCAATGTATTTTGTAAACATGCAAGTAACTATGGACTGCAGGGAGCTTACAAGAATGATGACAACGTGCGTACATTTGTCAGGCGTGCATTAGCACTTCCTTTGGTTAGGGTGTGTGATGTCGAGAACGTTTGGTTTCATGCACTAGAGAGTGTTGATCTGAATGACCAGGATGTGCAACGGTTTGCCGACTACGTCACCGAGCAGTGGGTTGAGGGTGGCGAGCTGCTGCTCTGGAACCACTTTCATACAGATGGACCTAGAACGACCAATCACGTAGAAGGTTGGCACTCTCATTTAAATGTTCTGTCGGCCTGTCATCCAAATATATTTATGTATGTCTTCTGTAACCATTTCCTGAAAATGTACCTAATGTGTAGAAGAGAAAATATACCAAATTGAATTGCTGAAATAAAAAAATCGAGATGAAGTATAGTGTGTTAGACCGTTTGCTAAATCGAAGCAGACTATAACTTAATCCCCTATTGTTATAGGGATTATCGCGCATCAGTGTTAAACCCCACCACCACCCCACACACCCCTTCAGTCGCAGCATACCGGTACTCGATGCGTAAACGTCCACCATTGGCACTTCATTGTCGATGCTTCTAGCAAAAAATCAAGTTATAGACCGTCCCCACAGTGGCTGCCGACCCCGGTCCCATGTCAAGACGGATGGGTTACAATCTCCGACACATGTTCCAGAACTCTTACAGTCAGTACCATACCATAGGTGTGTCTGTTCGACGACATGCAGACGTTAACCATTGAACACGTCTGGGATGAAATGGAGAGACGTTTACGACGTCCTCAGAATCCTATACAACGCTGCAGGAAAACCTCCCGCCTTGTGGTTAAAGCGCTCGCTCGTCACGCCGAAGACCAGGGTTAATCGAAGACCACATGGGTACAATGTGTGAAGTACATTTCTGATGGCCCCTGCCGTGATATTGCCATAGTATTGCTAATGGTTAAAATAAGATGCAAGAAACGAAATTATCTCGACATTTTATAGGGCAGATAAAAGCGACGCCTATTCGAATTTAATAGAAGAATCTGTTGGTAACGCTGTTGATCTTGACTTGATTACAATTGTGACTGGTGATTTTAATGAAGATATTCTTACCACAAATTCTAGCAGAGTTGATCAAATCAAATTAATAAATGGATTATCTCAAATCATAACCGACCCTACAAGGATTACCCCTACCTCTAGTACTTTGATTGATCTTATCTTTGATTCACATGTTGCTACTGTACTAGAATCCGGTGTACTTGATCCTATATGTAGTGATCACTGTCCTGTCTATGTTACTTTGAAGGAACAAAATAACTAAAACAGTTACTTATAAAAGAAAAATCTATGATTATACTTCAACCGACACCGAAGCCCTTACTGATGAACTTAGTTCTCTTGATTGGAATACAAATATTCTTCTCGTGACATAAATCAAGTAGCAGATCAAGTAAACAATACCGTAATTAATCTATGTAACAAACACGTGCCTAACGAGATTGTCACTATCAGGCAAAAAGATGTGCCATGGATGAACAACGAAACTCGGAGTTTGATCCGAAAACGTAATCGCTTACACAAGATTGCTAAACGGCACAACTTACCTTCCGATTGGACAAAATTCAGATTATACAGAAATAAAGCTACATCATCCGTCAGAACGGCTAAACAATTATATACAGACAAAATTGATAAATTAATTAATGACAAGCATGGAACCAAAGTCTGGTGGCGTCTGATCAAAACTTATTCAAAAGGCAAAAATTCATCAAGCTCCTTTCCTCCAGTATTAAATTATGATCAACTTTATGACGATAGCACTGAAATTGCAAATATAATGAATGAATATTTCCCAAATCAAACAAAAGTTAGTTATCCAGACAGGAATATTGAAGAGATTGTTTAGTATCATGATAAGTCTTTATGTGATGTTTATCTGAACCAAAACGAAGTTTATGATATTCTTTCTTCCGTAGATACTACAAAAGCAATTTGCCCAGACGGAATTAGCAATAAGTTTCTGAAAATGAACGCTCGATTGTTGGCTGCCCCTCTATCAGATGTCTTGAACCAATCCCTTTCTGAAAATACCTTTCCCCAAGTTTGGAAGGAGGCCTCTGTCGTCCCCATTCACAAAAAGGGTAGTATAAATGACTGTTCCAATTATAGACCCGTTGCACTCACAAGTTGTCTGGCTAAACTTTTTGAAAAGTGCGTTTTCAAACACGTCTTCAATTATTTCAGAGATAACGACATAGTTTCTAATCTCCAATCAGGATTTAAACCAGGCGATTCTACTGTTAATCAACTAACGTATTTATATGATTTCATTGCCGATGCAGTAGATAAAGGAAAATAAATAAGAGCAGCATTTTGTGATGTAAGCAAAGCATTCGACAGGGTTTGGCACAAGGGTATCATTTATAAATTAAAAAGATATGGTATAAAGGGTAATTTGTTAATATGGTTTGAGAGTTATCTTGAAAATAGAGAACAACGTGTCGTAATTAATGGATTTAGATCTGATACTAAAGCTGTATTTGCTGGAGTACCCCAGGGTTCAGTATTGGGGCCGCTCTTGTTTATTGTTTATATAAATGATATAGTTGAAGGTATAAATAGTAATACATGTATACGCCTTTTTGCGGATGATACTTCTTTATATGCAATCATTGATGATCCTGGGTAATGTCTATTGTAATGAACGATGATTTACAGCGAATTGCCGAATGGGCAGAAAAATGGCAAGTACCTTTTAATCCCAATAAGACAGTCAATATGCTTTACTCGTAAATTGCAACCAACTCCAATGCCGAACCTAACCATGAATGGTAATGTCATTAATTCCGTACCAAGTCATAAACATTTAGGTCTTATACTTCAGCAAGATTGCTCATGGAACGAACACATTAACGATTGTGCTAAACAAGTTGCACGAATGGTGAATTGTCTAAGAAGTCACAAATGTCGTTTAAATCGAAAAACATTAGAAACCATGTACAAACAGTTCATATTACCAGTTTTTGATTATTGCAGTCATATTTGGATAACTGTACTAAACAGCAAGCAGATATATTTGAAAAGTTCAATCTTGATGCTCTAAGAACCGTGTGTGGTGCTGTTCGTGGTACCAGCCATCATACAATATATACTCTCCCCAAAAAGAAACGCATATAGGAATTTCATCTGTATTTTTATGTTTATTTTGAAACATCTTGTAGGCTTTATGAGTCAATGAAATATAGCGAAATTGCACACTGGGAATGCAGACTTATCCGTCTTTGGCACCAACTCGAGGGAAGTCAGTTTGAGTGTCACATGGCGACGTGTGGTGGCGCTGAGGTCAATACCTCGTGTGACCACCGTGGGCATCCAGAACTGCACGGCATCGCCTCGGCATCGAACGAATAAGTCTCAGAATCTCGTGTTGCCCAATCGCAGCCAACTCTGCATGTAGTGCCTGTGCGAGTTGCTGAAGTGTCTGGGGCTGAGGGTTACGGCGTCGCACCCGTCTGTCCAGGGCATCCCACAGATGTTCGATCGGGTTTAAGTCCGGTGATCTTGAGGGCCAGGGGAGCACATTGATGTTGTGGTTCTGGAGGAAGTCTCTAGTGTGACGTGCTGTGTGGGGCCTGGCATTGTCCTGTTGAAACAACTCTCTCTGGCGATCACTGATTGGAAGGAGGTGTGGGCGTAGGATTTCGTCACAGTACCGTTGAGCTGTCAGGTTGCCCTGGATCATTACCAAATCACTTCTCCTACGTCAGGTGATCCCTCCCCACATCATAACACCCCCCCAGCCGAATCTGTCCACCTGGGGAACGCAAGCGTCGGCGAAACGTTCACGTCGACGTCTGTACACCCGCATTCTTCCATCGCGTCGTTCCAATAGAAATCGTGATTCATCACTGAACTAGATTCTACGCCAATTCGGTAGGTTCCGGGCCTGAACGTTGGTGCACCATTGAACTCGATGTCGACAATGTTGTTGTCGAAGCACAGGGCCAAAATAAGGTCTTCTGGCACGTAAACCAGCCTCTCTCAACCTGTTCCTGACGGTCTGTGCAGAAAACCTCCTCAATCCGGGTATTTGTCGAGCGGTACTGGTCGCCGTAGCTGTTCAATGACGCAGGTGATGTACCCGGATGTTCGCTCGAGGTCGCCCACTACGAGGGGCATATGCTACCGCATTCTGCCGGCGTTATCTCTCCGAGAGCCGTCAAATGATGCTTTGGTGAACATTCATGCGTCGGGCAAATGCACGTTGAGACTGGCCTGCTTCAAGCAAACCAATGGCGATATGACGGTTGGCTTCACTTAGACGGGGCATTTTGCGTTCGTCAACAATATTCCAAATACAGTTAATAATCGACAGACAGCGATCAACCTTTTATACCCATCATTGAGACTATCTGATCCCCAACTTTCACGTGTATTGCATGTAAATTGTGTATTCTGTGACACTACACGCCGAAATTGAAAACCATGCTGTTAAATACGGGCATTTTACGGATGGTGCGTTTTGTTGTGATGTTTCAAAACATAAACGCCATAGGACTCATAAACAGAGCAAAACCTTATGTAAAATGAATCACGTTTTAATTCATTGCTACATGAAATTGTTATTTTCATGATGCGTTTCCTTTTTGGGAGAGTATACAAAGAAACTAATTGTCACCCGTTGTATCGTAGAAGGTACCTTCATAAAATGACCATGTTTTACACAATGGTTAATAACTCTACGTCAAGTTACCTTAGTAACCTTGTTCCGCCTAGAGTACCAGATGTCGTTGGTTATAATCTGCGCGGTGATTCAAATCTTCAGACTATAAACTGTAAATCTGTAAATTATGCGAGGTCCTTTCTTCCAGATACAGTTAAATTAGGGAATCCATTACCGGCTAAACATAGAGAATCACCGTGCCTATCGAGATTCAAAAATGTACTTTTAAATGATTCTAATATCTACAGTCATTTTGACTTAAATTTCGGTAGCAGATTTTGTCAAATCATGCATTCTCGTCTCCGATGTGAATGTAGTGACCTTAATGCGCACATATATGAAAGATTTACATCTCCAACATCATCTTGCTCTTGTGGCCACAACTATGGAGACTCTGCTCATTATTTCTTCTCATGTACTCTTTACAACGATATACGTCACGTTATGTATCTTTATACTAAAGGATTTGACCTAAAATCAATTTTGTTTGGAAAACAAAGCTGTTCCTCGATAGTAAACAAAGAACTTTTTATTTCAGTGCACTCGTTTATTAATTTAACAGCCAAATTTGATCAAAAATAATTTCTTCATATGACATATACGTACTGTTTTAGCAATGATTGGCGTTATTTCTCGTTTTTGCAACATTTATATATCATTCACTTTGTACATTCGTCATTACATGTTTACTCTTCCTTCCATTGTATCCCGGAGCGGTATTCATATAAGCTTATGCTTGTTTACCAATCCGGTTCCTTTCTTTAGAAATAAATATGTTTAAATCATAGTATTGCTAAAAGCGGCGTAAAACTAAACTCACTCACTCCATCAACCTATCACCCTTCTTACTCATCGTCCGCTTACCTTTTGTCTGATCGGCATTCTAGAAGTTGCACGGCGAGTCAAAAATGAAACATACAACTTAATAGATGATAACTATATTGCGTTAAGCGATGTAGATTCAACAAGCAGCAGACTAACATCAACAACAGCATGTAATAGAATAACAAGTGGTGTGTCTGTCTATTTGTTGTTACTACTTAATCCTCCTGTTTATTGGCTTCATCACTAGAGCTACTTGTTGTGTTTAGTTCCCTACTGGCCTCTTCCAATTATGTACCACTTCTTATTCTATTACATGTTGTTGTTAATGTAAATCTGCTGCTTGTCACAACATACCATGTATACATGCTTCTCACCATTTGGTTGTAGTCACGTTTAGCTTAATAACGATGTAAGAATCTACATCGCTTAACGCAATAAACAAGAAGTTGTCATCCATAAAGTTGTATTTTTCATTTTTGTCCGCTTACCTACCATCCTTGGTTTTGTGCGTAGCACGTACCTGCTGCGCTGTTTCTCCCACCGCTGTGCTACGTCCGTTTAAGATGTCAGCTTGGGCAGCAAGATAGTGTCTTAAACATTTTTGGGTGATGTGTATAAAAATATCAAACATCAGATATTGTAGTGTACAGGGTATGCCTTGTACCGTATTGGCATTTACTAGACTATTCACGGGTCGAGTTATTTTGTAATTCATCGTTCTCATTTGTTGACTAACGGAGTACTTGAGAGTGACATTCAAACAAAACCCTGGCATGGTGAGCCTACATGAATCTACTTCCCTTGATGGTTTCTTGTTTCTTCCGCTACCTTTCAGTTCGTCTGGACAGTTATGCCTCTAAGCTAACAATCACAAAACACATGTGCAAAATATAGTCTACAACTGTAAATGAAACAGATAAGACGTGGAGTATATTGTAAAGTTTATAACAACGGATTAAATAATATACATGTACACATATACAAATATATAGATATTACATGCCGATGCATGATACAAAGTGACAATTATATGACATTCTAGAATATGCGTAATTTAACTTTATAGAACGTGCATGTTAATGTATCTATGACAACATACATATACACTGCTATTTTCCATCACGTGCATTGATATGCATGAAGGCACAGTGACAAATTTCGGGAAGAAATGTTTTCGCTATATTGCACGTACAACACGTGCAGCAACACGTCCCTTTGTGATGTCATATGTTGCCATGGTGTACGCCCTGTCACGAAGTTTCTCGAAAGCCTTTTGAGATCAAAACGTAGCTAATATTTATAACTTCGTAAAGAGGACTAATCAACTAACAATGTATTACTCTTACTTTTTTTAGGATAATATTTATAACTTCGTAAAGAGGACTAATCAACTAACAATGTATTACTCTTACTTTTTTTAGGTAATATTCTTCGAAGCATTCGTAATTTATACAACTTTAGTTCTGGTTTTGACCACAAGAGGATTTCATGAATTGTAGTGTCGGTATGATACTGTGCGTCAATACCAGTCCCGACAGGTCTTGTCTTTAGGTCACTCCACATGCCTTGTTCTTGGTTTTCTCACTTTCTCGACGTTTTCATTGTTTTTAATATTCGTGATACACTTTGCCGAACGACTTTCCCATTTTTAAAACAGCGCCATTCTTTGTTTCATCCTGAACGAGATCCAGAAATCCTTCCGCCACATATTCGGGACTGAAAAACAAACATATTCCTTGTATCTTCCTTGTACACCACCTATATCTGAACAATTACACGCTAGTGTCGAAGTCACCAACAAACATATACCCCCTCCCCTGTAGATTCCATATGTCTAATGCTATAAGTGTAGGGTTTAACATACGTCATTATCCCAATTTTGTCGATGAACTCTTTGGCAGCAGTCGGTGATCCAACGGCGGTGTTGTCGATGTCGGCCACCAGGGCCGTGTCGGCGAAGGCCGGACACAACATGTTGATACGGATGCCGTTCCCAGTACACTCAGGATTCAACTGAAATTCGGAAGAATACACAGTGCTTAGCAGAATGAAGTTGTGTTTTAAGTTCGGAGAAAGCAGTTTTCAGGGTTTAGCATTACTGACCTTATGTCGATACATCATAGCGACCATACCTTTAATTTGATATATATTAATATTATATTATTTATATTTCCTTTAATATCATATCAACTATTTACATGTGTTCGTGGAACTCACAGCCCAACTTCTGGAGAAGCCCACGATGCCAAATTTAGTAGCACAGTAAACCGGGCCGAATGGGTTTGGGTTTATACCTGCAAAAAACAGCGAAATAATGTTACACATGAACTGGCCATATTCTATGTCAAACGTCACGCATTCAGCGTTATACTAGTGTAGTTCGAGTCACGCCCGTTATCCGTCAGCCATACTTATTTACAGTACATCATGTCCGACAACCCGATACACAATGTTACATGTCCGACACGAGCACATTTTAATACGTCAGATACACAGCCACTACTCGCTGGTCTGTGTTGCATGCCCGCTACACTGTGTTGCACGCCCGCTACTCTGTGTTGCACGCCCGCTACCTTGTTGCATGCCCGCTGGTCTGTGTTGCACACCCGCTACTGTGTGTTGCACGCCCGCTACTCTGTGTTGCACGCCCGCTGGTTTGTGTTGCACGCCCGCTACTCCGTGTTACACGCCCGCTGGTCTGTGTTGCACGCCCGCTGGTCTGTGTTGTACGCCCGCTACTGTGTGTTACACGCCCGCTGGTCTGTGATGCACGCCGGGTACTGTGTGTTGCTCGCCCGCTACTGTGTGTTACACGCCCGCTACTGTGTTGCACGCCCGCTACTGTGTGTTGCACGCCCACTACTGTGTTGCTAGCCCGCTACTGTGTGTTACACGCCCGCTACTGTGTGTTGCTCGCCCGCTACTGTGTGTTGCACGCTCGCTACCGTGTGTTGCACGCCCGCTACCGTGTGTTGCACTCCCGCTACCGTTTGTTGCACGCCCGCTGGTCTGTGTTGCACGTCCGCTGGTCTGTGTTGCACGCCCGCTACTCTCCATTGTACGCCTTCTGTTCATCTGACTCTAATCTCTGGTACACGTGCTTCTCTGTTTCACGTCAATATCTCTCTGTAACATCCTCATCTCCCATTATCCCTGCTGTTACATCAGTGTTGCCATCTGTTACATTCTGAGCTACCCTCTGTTACACGACTGTACCCCCTGTTACGGTTCTTTAAGCGCTACCTGCGCCGACCATGTTGTCCCTACCACCCACCTGCCATGGACGCTACGTTGACGATGACCCCTCCTCTTCCCCCTTTGTCCTGCCTCATCACGTCCATTGCCAGGTACGTGCCCCGTATCATGCCTTTCTGGAAGCAGTATCAACAGAATAACACTGGCGTGGAATACAAAAATCAGTCAGTGGGAATATATAGCGTGCTGTCATTATACTTTTGGAACAAATACAAATTCTTATCACCAGAAGACATTTTAACTGATAATGTGAAAATAATCCAAAATATACGAAGGAAACGTCAGACCAATGGAGCTACAGTCAGACAAACCTGTGTTAGATATCATGAGCAAAGGGCCAAGGCGTCCAGGAACACTGACGTGGGTAACACTGTCACCTGATCGGGAGGCGTTCACAGCAGGCATGATGGACGATGTCAGTACGAAAGTGACATTTGTGTATGACAAAAACAGTTACCAGGTTGATGTCGACAGTCTTCTCCCACATCTCCCGGCTCTCTCCCCCGATCCCGGCGTTGTTACACATGATGTCCAGTCCCCCGAACCTGTCACGCACCTGCTGGAAAACAGCTGAAACACACCAGGGGGACACATGAAGGTTGAAGAAATGAACGAGTGCTAGTGAGTGATGGCTAGTGATCAGGTGAGTATTCTGCAGTTGGAGCTCCAGTGTTGTTGTCCAAGTGTCTGATAGTTCAAGCTACAGTCCGGGTTTATGTGCCTGTTCCAATATTCTGTTTCGGGGCGTACACGAAGGTGGAGTTAGTTTCAAATAAATCTTTCGTTGAAAACAGAGTACCTACATAACCGACCTCGAGTTTAGGAAGACATGATATATCAGCTACAGCTACTAATGAGTAGCCATTGATTCGACTGGTGAGACTGAAACATCTTTTGGTGTGTGATGACACATCTAATGGCGGACAGAAGCGCTGAGAAAACTACTTGTTAGCACCAACACTGATACACTGAGACAATTGCAACTGCTCGAGAGGAATGAGGCATCCACGTTTAAGCACTGAGAAAACTAGAGATGAGCGCTCAGACAAGTTCTGGTAACCAATGAGATAACTTCCGGAAAGTAGCGACACTGAGATATGAGAGACGACATCAGTGACATCGTTCAGCACAGGAGTGAGACACAAGCCCCAACCATTTCAATGATCAAGGAAACAGGAGTCCTTTATTGGGAGGGCCTATATTCATGTTACCCGCAAACATAACTTCTCGTGTGTTGTGTGCTGAGCAGATAGCACGAGTACAATAAACTTTGCAAGAACGCTAGAATCTGTTTATTAGTGTCTGTTGACCGATCCAGTCCAGATGCATGCTTATCAGGCCCTGCAGCTGCTGAAGCTACACTCCAGCTTCCAATAGAGGTCATCATTGTAGTATATGTTAAATATTCTGGCATCTCGGTTACAGGAGCCAAGTATAGGATTGATAAGGAAGTGTCTAAACGTTGAAATGGTTACTCAGACCACGAGGCACGGACAGATTATACACAAAGGACACAAACACCGGGGAGCCTGGAAGTGTATCAATGACTACACACTGGGGGCGCCTCATGGTCTTGGTAATTATGTCAACGATTAGACAACAGAGGAACCTCGTGGTCTGAGTTATTACCAGGAGCAGTCAACATTCAAACACTAGCACCTTAAATGAAATGTTGAAACATTATTTCGATAAGACCAGGTCTTATCAAGAACTGTAGGAGAGCACTGGCCTTGCGGGATACACGTGGAATAGATTTAGCACGTGCATCTCTCTCTTTGGCGATTTATGAAATGCTTGCACTGTGACATGTTTTTAGGTTGGAGATATATCCTCTGTGGTTTGACATTTGATGTTGTTTAATGTTGTGCCACTGAAGATTAGAAAACTCGTATTTAAACATAGAACTAAGCGCTTTAGGACAAAACAAAGAAGGTTTGTCTCCATTTTACTATGAGGCAAGATTGAGTTTGAAAATTGTGTTCTCCTGGAGCACGTCATAACAGCGAAAAACTTTCCTCTGTCTTAGCAGAACGACAGTTGTAACCATCTGAAGATACATGTTTTAATGGCATCACAACCCGCTGTGGATGGACTTTCCTATCGAATAGTGAAAAAAGTTGAACGCATTTCTTTCCCCAATAACCGTTTTAAAGTAACTGGCACCAACATCGGGTTAGTAGTGCCCACGAGAATACTGTCAATGTGTATTGTAAAGTACAGGCAGATATGGAAGGTACATAGTATAGATGCACGTTGGGCCCTGAAGCATGGTGGTGTCAGTTGTTGTAGTCCCAAGACTGAGAGAGAGAGAGAGAGAGAGAGAGAGAGAGAGAGAGAGAGAGAGAGAGAGAGAGAGAGAGAGAGAGAGAGATTGCCAATAGTTGTAGTCTACAGAGATCGGCCTTCCTTGTACAAAGTGACAAAAACAGGAACGACACGGGCGTACTAAGTGGCGGGAACAACCACTACGTCAAATGCATTACTGATATAATTACTTTTCAGAATATCGTTGCTCAAGGAGTAGCTATGAAGGGTTGAGCTGTTATGTGTATTACTCTCAGAGTTGTAGGACAGCTCTTCACGTGATAGGCAGAACGAATACAAGCTTTACGGGGCTGAATCAACAAACCCAGATTACCCTGCCTGTACTGGATAGCTAGACAAACTAACGGAGAACACGAGGGAATACTAATACACAATTATAGCAAGGACGTCAAACGCTGTGACTATTCATTCTCCTCGCTGTGGTATCATCTACCAGTAGTCCAGTACTGAACGTCGACTCTACACTATTATACATACATCATACCATAAGTCTGTACCTATGTGAGGAATCGAACCCGGCTTTGCGACGTGAAAGGCAACAAAATCAGAACATTGTTTTCATCATACATTCAGTGTTTAGTGTGCAGCTATCTACGATGTCATAGTTGGGCGCCCAAAAGAGACATAAACAAATTAATGGTTCTGCTAAAAAGTCATCGAAGGTGCTGTTGTTCGATGAGCAGAGAGTTGCCTCCGTTTACCGTGCCAGGATTCTATTATAGAGGTTTGCATCCGTGGTTCACACTGATTTCTATTGATATAACTGGTCTGTTTAATGCGGAATGAAACTCACTAATCTAATCAACAGCTATTTCACGACGTCAGCGGATACAGGGGGAGGCTAGCACATGCCAGGTGAAATGATGTAGATCTACATCTTCAAGTCTAAGCACAAAACATGCATATCACCTTCTTTTAAGCTCGTTTCCGGTAGAAAGATAATCATGGCTTACAGTTCTCCTCGGTGTATCGCGTTCCGAGACGCTGTATGTTCATCACATTCTTATGCCGGATGTGCCGTCACAATTAATAAATGAACTTTGTCAGAAACCCAGCTCTCTTCTGACAGAGTCAACCTTGCCTGGGATTGCGGGCGTACTTCCCGCTCCTGTTTCTCCTGATTAACCAGGTGTCGATACCATTTACTCAAGAGAATAGGAAGACACACGGTATTCGTGGTACACCCACGGACAACTGCATCTACTCAATGCATGCTGGGACCCACAGGAGATGGAGGGTGCACATCCCTCTTTTAAATCATAATAAACATTTATACTTATGTAGGTTGTAGGTCCTCGGGTTTAGGAAGAGTAAACGCTGACTTTACTAGGATCGGCTACACTTGGTGATATATTCTCACTGCAGTTACCGGCTTACAGAATGGACTCCCCTTTGGTGAAGAAGTCATATCTCAACATGTGCAGTATACTAGGATATGGAAGTGTAAAGTAGTATAGTGGTATATAGCAGTGTACATGTATAGTAATATATTGTAGACAAACTCGTCATACTATGTACCTTCCATATCTGCCTGTGATGTGACATCGCACTTTACAAAAGCCACGTTTTCTTGTCCAAACTTTTTCTCAAACTCTTTCAGCGTCTCTTGTCCCTTTTCCGAGTTAACATCCGAGAACAGAACCTGAAAATATACATACAGTTGACATGATCTTTCACAGACCTTGCTTTACGGTACTTGAGCAATACATAGCTATACATGTGTCTCGCAGTTCTGGGTGCACGGGTGGTCCATCTAGTCTAAGGTGCTGCAGTCCGCTCATCAAATACGTCTTGCCAGAAACCTGTGATCGCGGGTTCGAATCCCGGTTAGCTTTGATTAGGTTTGTTCCGACGTTTGTCAGCCCCTTACCGGTGGTAAATGTCTACGACCTCACTCCTGGCTCCCACCCAGCTGACACCCAATACAACTGATATATTTGTCAAAGCGCCGTAAAACACTCTCACTGGACCCTTTCCATGTCCAGGTTGACTGTAGGTGACTGGGCGATCACAGTGCCTCCCATGAGTTATTATTCAGTGCCTCCCATGACTAGATATTATTTAAATGGGTGACAACCATCGACGACTACCGCTGAGATTTGACCTTGTTGGTTCGGTGTATATCGGACCCGACGTTTTCCACCACTATGCCCCTCGTATATGTCATTATGAGAAGTACACGTCAGAACCACCCCGGCAACCTGTGCTGCTTGTCTGTGGCGACCCAGGGGTTTGGGTGGTCAAGTGCGGAGGCTTAGTTTATTGTGGGTCATCTTACCTCCATCGGGTGGATTGGTGTTGACAAAAGCAGTCACTCTGACTCGACCACTAACAGGGTACTGTGGTATAATGGGAAGGTACTGTGAAGGTACTGTGGTATAATGGGAAGGTACTGTGGTATAATGGGAAGGTAGGTACTGTGGTATAATGGGAAGGTACTGTGGTATAATGGGAATACAGATGAGTAAGGCATTAAACGGGAAAAAAAGCCAACCATTCAGCCAACCAGCCACTCACCCACCCAACCGATAACCAGCCAAACAACTAACCAACAAGCCAACCAGCTTCTCAACCACCCAACCGATAACCAGCCAAACAACCAACCATTCAGCCAGCCACTCATCCACTTAACCGGTAACAAGCCAAACAACTAACCAACAAGCCAACCAGCCACTCAACCACCCAACCGATAACCAGCCAAACAACCAACCATTCAGCCAGCCACTCACCCACCCAACCGGTAACAAGCCAAACAACTAACCAACAAGCCAACCAGCCACTCACCCACCCAACCGATAACAAGCCAAACAACTAACCAACAAGCCAACCAGCCACTCATCCATCCAACCGATAACCAGCCAAACAACTAACCAACAAGCCAATAAACCAACCAGCCTGTCAGACAGCCACTCACCCACTTAACCGATAACCAGCCAAACAACTAATCAACAAGCAAACCAACCAGTCAGCCAGCCACTCACTCACCCACACAACCGATAACGTTTCGATAATTCTACGCATAATGCTGCAAAACTTAGCATTTCTTGAATTTCGTAGGTTTGCACCTATGAGGCAGTGAGTTGTCTGATAAATCTGTCCGGGCCTCCAATACTGAAGTGGACACTGAAGATCACTTGTGTACACATGAAGAGATACATATTCGATAAGCAGTGATACAAAAGTCCGCTTCAGTTTAAAACCAAATATATTCCTGTACACGTAGAAAACCAGCTTTCGGCTCACATGTTATAATTCTGCAGTGTATTTGACGAATGAAAAAGAAAGTTTGCACGAGGTCCGCTCAAATCTTGGATTTCTGCAGGACAAGTTACTGTCCATTTCTGCATTGACTTGGAATGTCTGCACAACATTCCGTGGAAACTGCGAAAATCTCATTTAGTCAATGTACGCTACGTAAATATTTTGTTACGTGTCGACTTCCAAAAACAACAATTTGTTAAGACCAAATGTTTACGCACAAAAACTGTGTATGATACGAACAAAATACTCAAAAGAAATGTTAAATAATGCATAACAGAGACAATTTGTTGACAAATCAATAAATAAATGTTGATATACATGCATCTAAACAAAAGAATCCCATACCGTACAGAATTCAAACTCTCACCCAGAAACTGATCCTAAACAGACGACTAGTCCCAACATTGGTTATTTCACCTGACACCTAAATTGTACATACAGATCAAAAGACAAGTCAACAAGATCCACAACTGACTTTTGATCTGTATGTACACTTTAGGTGTCTGGTTAAATAACCAATGTTGGGACTAGTCGTAATAGCAGGACATATGCAAGGTTGTATGGAGAACCATAGAACTGATCGGAACGTTACATTTGAAATATCAAACCACTATCCAATCAAAAGCAACATTCATATTCTCCAAAATAGACTCAACTTTCCAAATATGAAAGATAGGAAGACAATATCAAATGGTCTACAGCGAGGATGGGGTCTGAGCTACAATAGTAGACCGCAACAGCACCACAGACAAGGTGATAGAGGTAGGTTCTAATAGTTCAATGAACATCGCTATAAACAGACTGACAGAAGACATTATAACCAAGAAGACTTTATTCCAGTCACACAAATCACATTGATAAGATAAACAATATGATAACAACACTCACAATAATACATCACCTGGGCCAGACGATGATACGACCAATCATCTGATATATGCTGAATAAAACTCGTGAAACAGATTGTTCGAAAATTGAACGAAATAATAAGGATTGAAAATGTTCCTAAATCATACCGAACGGGTTTTATCATTCTTATCCATAAACAGAATGGTAAGAACAAAACAGATCCTGGAAAATACAGAGATATCACACTTATACCTGCCATTGGAAAACTCTTTGAAAAGGCCATTCTTTCACAGAATAAACAAGTGGGTTGAGTTAAACGACCTGAATTTTCCAGACTATCTACAGTTTGGCTTCCAGGAGAAGAGCGGAGCCCCGATGGGTGCAGGGGCACTTGACCACTGCATCACACATTACACCAACTCTAATTGTCCCCTTTATGCAACGCTATAGAATAACGAAAAGGCTTTTGACTGCATATTGCACGACGGTTTGTTTCGCGAAATGCATGACCAACGCATAAACTCAAAGTACTGGCGATTTATCCGTTGTTCATACAGTACAGCACAAGCATATGCTGTGTTTCAAGGGTGTTCGTCAGATTCCATATCTTATGTGGTGTCGGCCAAGGAAGAGTTATGCCTGCAAGGCTTTTTCTTGTTTTTATTGGCGACCTAATGAACTACTATACATGTATATGGTAAAAACATGGCTGATGTGACCATACCTGGACTTATGACACTACTATATATGGTATAAACATGGCTAATGGGACCATACCTGGACTTATGACACTACTATATATGGTAAAAACATGGCTGATGTGACCATACCTGGACTTATGACACTACTATACATGTATATGGTATAAACATGGCTGATGTGACCATACCTGGACTTATGACACTACTGTATATAGTGTAAACATGGCTGATGTGACCATACCTGGACTTATGACACTACTCAGATGACACTATTCTAGTGAGCTCTACCACTCATGGTATGCAATCTCTAATTGAATCACTCTACAGATATGCCCCAAAATAGCGCCTCGTTTATACAAACAGCTGTTCCATATGAAACAAAACTAATACCTAAACCCAACATTCAAAGTTTGACAAAACATTGTAAAACATGTACAGGAACTACCCATATGCTATGGAAATAGCCTATGTTCATTCCTAATTCCAATTAAACTAGCATCTCTCTTTGCGAGATAGTGTGCCTTATGTGACAAATATGTACACTTGCATCAATTCTATCAGTACAGGACGTTGTTACATTCTGTGGCCAGAGGGATGTTTATGTTAAGTAGGAAACATACTAAACTCAATCATTTGGACTTTCAGGTTTGGATTCAATTATCTGCACACGTTCACAAATGTAGGGTATACCTAGAGCCCAACTAATCATTATGTCAGTATCAAGTACATACAGAATTGTATGTATCTGTCATATCCTTGTTCATCCCAGCCTTATGGCTGACTATATATCGAGTATATTGCATTTCGTGTTGTTCATTTTGTCTACAGCTCGTCACGACAATTATTATTATTATAATCTATTTATATAGCGCTGAGTTCCAGCTCGGCTGCCCACAGGCGCTTTGTTTTTCCCTCGGTCATAGGATGTCAGTCTCAACGGCACGTCGTATTATCAATCTCAACTCCCTGGGGGATCATACAACTCTTGCAGCCACTAGGCGCATCGACTTAATGTGGCTTTCCCATCCTTACGAGGTACCCATTCACAGCTGGGTGGACTGGGACACATAGTCACAGCACTTTGTCCAAGTTTACTGCATGTTGCTGTACCCGCAACTAGGTATTTGCATGTATTCATGTGGCCACCATCTGGTCATTTACCAACGGATTCGTGGGTTCTTTTAAGTGCACAGGTTTGTGTACTGTACACTAGGGGTTGTGACGACACTGAAAGAGTCTGCACACAAAGTTGACTCCAAGGTTTTTACACCCGGTCACAGGTGGCTCGATCCCGACACCTCAACATCGCTGGATCACTAGCCTGGCGCCTTAGCCAGCTCGCCCACCACACCCCACAAGGGAGGTAATCAATATTAGACATGAACTTCTATTGAACTTTACCACAAAATTTATAAATTACAATATAACACGTTTTACCGCTGAATTACACCGTCATATTACAGTAATACGATGCCTACATGGTGACTGGGTGTATCTGGGTAGTTTGCACACACCCTGCTTAGTGAGTGAGTGAGGTATGGACGTCGTGCTACTAACACCACAGAGTTACACTTCCCGCAATGTAACTGTATTTGCCCCGATGTGTTTTACTAGTATTTACTATCTCTAATTTCAATTGACAAACGGGATCGCGTGGTCAGGCTCGCTGGCTTGGTTGACACATGTCATCGGTTCCCAATTGCCCAGATCGATGCTCATGCTGTTGATCAGTGGAATGTCTGGTCCAGACTCGATTATTTACAGACAGCCGCCATATAGCTGGAATATTGCTGAGTGCGGCGTAAAACTTAAGTCACTCACTCACTCACTCTAATTTCAATACATTGTTCATCATGGTTATCGTCATACTAATAGGATGTTTTCTTTTCCTTTTCGGTTAGGCTAGGGGCGGTTGGGTAGCCTACTGGGTAAAGCATTCGCCCGTCACGCCGAAGAACAGGGTTCGATTCCAATGTCTGAAGCCCATTTCTGGTGACAACCGCCGTGATATTGCTGGAATATTGGCTTAAGCGGCGTTAATCCATAATCACTCACTCACTCACTCCATGGCCAGAAGAATTTGTCGTTATCGTGTTGGGTACATTTAATTCTGTGTACAGACCCGTATTTGGGGTACACACTTGTAGTCTCCTGCTTCAGTTAGCCGACAGGATGAGGAGAGCACCTGTCTGTGATGAAGCAAGGGAGATAATGAAGTCTTTACGCTGTAAACCTTATATTGTGGGAAGACACATATTCTGTCATGAGACTTGACAACAGATACTGATTAGGCGAGACTCAGTGTATCTTGGTTGTGCCAAATGACTAAACTCTGGCTTCAGCTAGGGTAGCGCTCACATATTTCTTACTTTACTTAACTGAGAGAAACACTAGCTTGAAGTTGGACATTCACTTTTTACATGTTATGATGTTACTCAAAGTTCCAAGCAGTATTAAAAATCATGATCTGTTCAGATCGCTAGTCTTGTGTTGTGAATGGAAATGCTTCTATCTGGTTCGCTTTACCGGTATAGGGAATGGCGAGATCCCGGGATTTCGAGAAAATTGAAACCCCTAAGCGCGGTAACTCCGCAAAGTGCCAGACAGTGACAGAGTATGGTTTTACGCCGATTTTAGCAATATCACGGCGGGGGACATCAGAAATGGGCTGCATGCATTGTACCTATGTGAGGAATCGAACCTGGGTCTTCAGCGTGACGAGCGGACGCTTTAACCATTAGGCTACCCCACCGCCCCTTACCTGCCAGACAAATAATGACATTGGACTCTCGCACCGTGAATACCGCATTACACCAGTTAAGCCACTCAAGGAGCGGGTGTCCAGTGTGGGGGAACTAACATGCTCCCGACACGATGTGAACCTTGGACTCCCGACCACGCCCTCTGGTATCTACCAAGGTGCTACTCGGACTAGAAGTAGAGTTTAGACTGACTGACTGAGTTTGGTTTTACGCCGCTTTTAGCAATATTCCAGCAACATGACGGCGGGGGACACCAGAAATGGGCTTCACAAATTGTACCCATGTGGGGATTCGAACCCGGGTCTTCGGCGTGACGAGCCAACGCTTTAACCACTGGGCTACCCCACCGCCCCAGTAGAGTTTAGAAGTCCACATGAACTGATTGTTGACATGTAGGGTTAAATGGACCAGTTACTTCAACATCGGATATTCTTCTAACGTAAGCATTTCAGCTTTCAAATCCAACCTCAAATCTGTGGCATTGTTTAAACATTTAATATCTAATGTTGATTTAGGGTACAAATTTCAATGTCATTTCCACTTCAAAATCCGATAAAAAAATCAATATCATTCTACAATGAAGCATGACTTTGTTTCAACATCAACATCATCTCAACTTTTATATCCAACAAAATATCGTAGTGACTTCACTGCTGAGCCACACCACGGACACGACATGTATACAACATGGTCGTGTCTGCCGGGGACGTTGGCGACAAGGACAATCAGGTCTTACAGCTGATAGCAATTACTCTTCCAAGTGTGTGGAAGGATTTCCCAGTATTTGTCAACACGTGAAAGGCGACACGCCATATCTTGTCAGTGTTATGCCACGCGCATTGATAAGGTATCTGATCTATCAGCACCTGTGTCATTTAACTAGGTCAACGCTAGTACAGGTACAACGATTAAGAAATCGATATCAGTCCCGCTGAAGGCAGTAACATACTAATACATGGACGTGGTACACATCCCTTTACAATATTGCCTCACGGAAATAAACAGCATCATACCTTAGCACCGTTCTCCAACAGAGACGCTGCAAACGCCTTCCCTAGGCCCTGTGCGGCTCCCGTAACCAAGGCGACCTTCCCGCGGACTTTCATGGTGTTGTTGTGGTGGGATACGTTCCCTGACTGAGCTCGGCTGTTTGTACAACTCGCCTAAATACTTCACTAGAACTCAACCCAGTCATACGACCCAGCTGTCAATGGCTTGAGCGGGTCGCGTGCGTTATAATTCTCTAGTGGTTATCATATATGCACATATACCTCTCAGGTTGAATATCTATGTCACCGGTGTACACACAGGTAGATCCCTGTGGATATTTGGTGTTGCACGTATTGAGCAATACGCCTTCAGTATGTTATAGAAATGTAACATTATGTGCGTGTAAGGTATGACATTCAACGTAACCATATATATCAAGGTGTATTCGTTGTCTGAGCATTATCTTCAAGGACAACATTAAAGAATATTCAGTATAGATAGTACAATAGATTTTTGTGTATGTTTTTGTGTGACTTTAAACCATTGAAAATAACTTCACACCTGATTTTATAACAGTTTTGTCTAATCTCTGACAATAACCTACAAACAGCATGTCAGAATGTTGTATATTAATGGCTGGTGTATGAAGTGTAAGAGTATAGACGGGAGATGTTTATACACCTGTATCCAGCATTGAACTGTGGCTGACCTTCATCAACCTCCACGTCGGGTAGACGGGTGTACGGGGATGGGGTGGGTGACATACACTGTGACGTGGCTGTCGTCATACCGACTATGGACAGGTAGGTGAAGTAGACCGCCCCTCCCCTGGTATCAGTCATATGGCAGATTGACTATTACCTATCAGGCTTGGAATGGCAGGTGAAGGTGAGCAGGTAAATTTGCTTCCCATAGAATTAGTACCGGCAGGCATTCTATTTCAATGAACCAACTTGTAGGTGGGATTTTATGTTGTGCTAGACGTCTTTGACGGACGAACATTTAACGCAATGTAACAAGCCATTATATTGTAGGAAATGTAATACTATAATCTATTCAGATAGTTATTCTTACCAACATCGCGATTATTGAACGGGGCCAAAGTTCAACATCACTTTCTTCGCTAGTTGTACAAACGAATAAGAGTTTTTAATTGTGTTTTGACGACACAGAGTATATTCCCATGGAATCCCAGACAATCATAGATCACTATGTGACTTGTAGTAAGAGGCGAATGGATCACGTACAATGATTTGGCGCCATCGCACCCCGACGGCGTGGAGAGGTGTCAGTGACAGTCAGATGACGCCGTGCTTTAGCTAGAATATTACTGACTGTACCGTCAAACAAACAAGCAAACAAGCATGCAAACAAGCTTGAACATGTTCACATATTCATGGTGGAGAAGTCAACATTCGTGACCAGTGACATATAAGGGAGATAAGTACATGACTAGAAGCTGACGATAACCACGTGACACCGAGACACTATGTACGTACATTACTGACGAAGCGGGTCTTACCATGCGGAATTACAAATGACAGCACGTTAGAACACGTGACCCAGTCGCTGTGTCCCTGTGTACCCGAAACCTGTGTTCCTTGGTTCCAATCTCACTTTGCCAGGTTTATATTTCTGTTTCACTGAAGTGAACTCAACTCACTCACTTACTTCGGCGTTTGTGCTTCCCCATCGTATGGCGTTCAACGTACTCCCCAAAACATGGCAATATCGTTATTGATGACTGTTATAGTGTGCTCAATATTTTGACGATAGCATGGTAATAGAAATTTAAACCCATGAATATTGTAAAACACACAGGGGCTTGTAACGCTAAAACTGCCATCAAGGTATATACCGGTATGAAGTGATAAGACCCCGTTAGTGACAGTATATAGCTTGATGGCAGTTTTTAGCGTTACAAGGCCCTGGGGTAAAACACACATTGTTATAAAGTTAAATGTCATAATGACTTCAATGGATGTGTGTACACACCAGCCTTCACACACATGCACACACCTCACAAACACACCGACACACATTCACACACCGTTTATGTCTTAACGCAAAATCACTTCCTGCAGTTTACATATGGCGCACGCTGAAGCAACATGCACGTGCGTAGGTTGTTGTTCCTGATTTTAAAAACTTTGTACATACTTACAATCTTATTAACATGTTGTATAGAAAAAACAAAACAAAACAGAACCTGCAATTAACTGAGAAAGTGTGATCCCAAATATATCTTGCATTTGCCCAGTTTCTAAAAGGAATTGAGTATTCGTCTACAGTTCAGACTGGTTGTCAACCATTGTACTACTTGCCCATAGTGCCACGATAACAGCTGATTGACTGGTTGAGTGAGCAGGTTGACGTCACATGCATCGGATTCAGTGACCCTTACCCGACGGGCTACAAGAAACAAAAGACGGGAAAACACTCACTCGCATATGTTTTTAGATTGCTTATATAATTAAAATGATATGAGAGTTAAAATGTAGTTGTGATGTATAGGATATGCCGCGCGACATGGAGCAGATAACTGGGACTGTCTACACGTGACGGAGGTGACAAGATGGCGATCTCGAAGAGACTCAATTCTTCACTACTCAGATACATCTATATTTGAAACAGTGGCGGATGGATGTCAAGCTGAAGATAAATCTATTACGATGGGTGTCTGCCTGATGTCTATACTGATGGATGTGCACATCGGGCAGGTTTTTCACTGACAATACCTCAGTTGTATCCGGTGTACACCCCGACATCCGCCATAAATACTTCCAGACGTATTGTGTTACCCATGTTACCCAAGCATTCAATCCAGCAGTGTTTTTGATGCCCGGATATTCCTCTGTAAAATACTAGTACGTCATAAATCAGACTGAACGATGAATGGATATATACACAGTGGGATTTCTTATCAGTTGCTTTGGCGTACTTCCAGTCAACTGAACGATGGCGTCAAGGCTGCGTGAGTTGTTCCCGTTCGAGTCAATTTAAGTGTATAAATTGCGCAGGCCTATATACAGGTATCTTGGGAATCTAGAGTGTCATTGCTTGGCGTGAGAGTTACGCTTGGTGTCACTGCTTGTTGTTAGGGTCAGGGTTTGCGTCATTACTTGTGTCATCGTGACTCGATGGCTTGGCTCAAATGTTCATGCTATCATTTATGAGTTTTATGAGCTAAAGCGGGGTGTACGAGATTCGACCACTTGAATGAGTACGTACCCCTCAAACCCTAAATCCTAGTATCTCGTGACTTGTGAAGATCCGGGTTAGAATTGATCTTCAGGGACCCATTCTTGTCGTAAGAGGCGACTAACGGGATCGGGTGGTCAGTCTCGCTGACTTGGTTGACACATGCCATCCAAGTTGCGTAGATCGATGCTCATGCTGTTGATCACTGGATTGTTTGGTGCAGACTCGATAAGTTACAGACCGCCGCCATATAGCTGGAATATTGCTGAGTGCGGCGTAAAACTAAAGTCACTCACTCACTCGAATCCCGAACATCGTCCCTGTACCGTGTACAAAATACAAATATTTTGAAAAGCGCACATAAAATCTCTAAATCATCATCATTGATTCGAAAAATAAACCACGAGGCAGGCGCTCAGGTCACAGTGTCCAGGTAGCGTGACAGATGTTGGCCTTGTACACGTTTATTGTATTATTGAACTGTGTTTTAAACACACTGGGATCAGTTCTGTGTGAGATAGTGCATGCAATATCCACTAGTAATATTATGATAGTATAACACTATCATAGTGAATCTAATTATCGTGAACAAAAAAGAAACTTCAAAATTGGAGAAATAAATTATAATTGAATTTCCAGACTGTACAGAAGAGCTTCAATTTGATACCTGGTGCCAAATAATGCTAAATTGTGGCTGATTTTGTCAGTAAATGCAATTTCCTGTTTCATTAACTTTCTTATGCATTCATATATTCACTTGTCTGTAAATATCATGTGATGTTTAAATTCTTGTTATCTTCATATCTGGAGGAAATAAAGCCAATCTATCTGTGCAGAATGTGCTGGACATTAGAACAATGAACACGCTAACAATCCTTGAGAAATAAACAATTGTCATGCCACGATGTTAAACGCAGACACAGGTACACACCCTGACTAACCCGGACACAGGTACACACCCTGATTAACGCAGACACAGGTACACACCCTGACTAACGCAGACACAGGTACACACCCTGACTAACCCGGACACAGGTACACACCCTGACTAACCCGGACACAGGTACACACCCTGACTAACCCGGACACAGGTACACACCCTGATGAACCCGGACACAGGTACACACCCTGACTAACGCAGACACAGGTACACACCCTGACTAACGCAGACACAGGTACACACCCTGACTAACGCAGACTAACACCCTGACTAACCCGGACACAGGTACACACCCTGACCCGGAACAGGTACACACACGGACACAGGTACACACCCTGATGAACCCGGACACAGGTACACACCCTGACTAACGCGGACACAGGTACACACCCTGACTAACGCGGACACAGGTACACACCCTGACTAACCCGGACACAGGTACACACCCTGACTAACGCGGACACAGGTACACACCAGGTACACACCCTTGACTAACGCGGACGCAGGTACTGATGAACCCGGACACAGGTACACACCCTGACTAACCCGGACACAGGTACCCACACCCTGACTAACCCGGACACAGGTACACACCCTGACTAACGCGGACACAGGTACACACCCTGACTAACGCAGACACAGGTACACACCCTGACTAACCCGGACACAGGTACACACCCTGACTAACCCGGACACAGGTACACACCCTGACTAACCCGGACACAGGTACACACCCTGACTAACCCGGACACAGGTACACACCCTGACTAACCCGGACACAGGTACACACCCTGACTAACCCCCGTACACCCTGACTAACCCGGACACAGGTACACACCCTGACTAACCCGGACACAGGTACACACCCTGACTAACCCGGACACAGGTACACACCCTGACTAACCCGGACACAGGTACACACCCTGACTAACCCGGACACAGGTACACACCCTGACTAACCCGGACACAGGTACACACCCTGACTAACCCGGACACAGGTACACATCCTGACTAACCCGGACACAGGTACACATCCTGAGTAACGCGAAAACAGGTACACACCCTGACTAACACGGCCAGAATCATGGATTTAAATTGAGAATTAAACGAAGAGAGATACAATGTATATTCATCTCTTGGGACGCCTGAAGCAATGAGA